TTAAACGTTTAATATAACTCATGACAAATTGAGCTGCTTAGCCAAAAATTATTACTTGACATGAATTCCATAATTAAAATCAGGTAATCCTTTATCACATCTTGCTGTGCAACAAAAAAACCTGTTCTCAAAGACAGTCTTTGAAATTAAGTATGAGCATGAAAAATACAAGATGAAGCACTAAGAAAGCAAATCTTTAAAGGGTTTCTAGCAAGAGCAAAACCACCATCCACAAGCTGTAGCACAGCAAACAACGTATTTCAAACAAAGAACAAAAAAAAAGAAAACTGTTGCAAATGTAGATAAGGCAGTATTTAAAAAGCAAAACTACCTGAGGAGTTACCAGAGACAACATACATATGCAGCATTTCAGAAACAACTAGTTCTGCAGTCGTGGTTCTGTGGTCAAAGCATTTCCTTGGTGTGTGTACACAGGGTGTGCAGCTGCCCCCAGATGTAAGGACACCCTCCCCTCCCTGGTCCCCACCGTGGTGGCACCACTCCAACCACAAGAATGGAGCTTGAGTGGTTGGTGAGGTCACCAAAACACTGCCGTGCACTGTGCACATCTCCATTTCCCTAGAATATGGCATTTTTTTACACTTGAATTAGTGCCTGGAGTTTCTGGCTGCCAGACTGTACAGCCATGTCCCTTAGAAATTGGATCTAATTCTTCATTTTCTGGTTGCTGAGACACCCCCACTACCCAAACAGCAAAGGGAACTTGTGTACTCACAATATGGAAAGATTAATGCACATGTAAAATTCTGCAGGATCAGCACCCTGGTGTGTGGTCAGAGTATTGGACTATTTATTTTTGTCAAGTTTATTGAGCATCTAGAAAAATCCCATTATAAATAAAGCAGCATGCTCTTAATAAAACTTGACATGCAGGGTAAGTTTTCAATTTATAATGGGGCTTATATACATAATGTTTTTATTTTAACTCTGTGTTTTAATTTGATTTCCTACATCCATATATTTACTTCCCTTGAATTTATTCTCAAACTAAAAATGCTCCTCCATTTATTTCCTAAATGCTAAAAGAACTACAGGTTTAAAAACTTGTTTTTATGCTTAGAAACCTCATACTGAAAGAACTCATTTACACTGAAAAACACCAACTTCAGGCTCCATTAATTATGCTACTGCAAAAATTCAAAATGGTCACAGCAGCAATAAGCAAATATCCCATGAAACATTCCCAGACAAGCATCATTTTCCAATCTATTGAGCTCACAGTTCAGAAAGCTCAAGTGCTATTATCAGGCTATGCTCAAGCAACACTTGCAGGTTTAGTCAATAGAACTTTTGTATTTAGGAGCATCTGAAGACCTGACTCATAGCTACTTAAAATTCAGGTTAGCAAGTTAAACTTTCAACTGCTACAGTGCCTTCTGTTCTGGGGGACAAAATAAATAAATAACTAAAGAAATGCTTATTTTAGTTACTGAAGTGTCTAACTTGCTACTGCCAATTATTTTTAACACTGAGTCAATCTTGAACAAAACAAAGAAAAAGTTAATAATTCATCATTAACCTGATCCTGTAAACACTTGATTACACCATAAATTTTAAGAAATTACTGTATTCAACAGGAAAAAATACTGCACTTAATGGTTCCTGCTCTATCTTATACTTTTGCTGGTATCAAGAGTTTTTAAAACCTAGTGCATATTCTCCTGGTAGTTTTGAGTTCTTTTCTTTCTTATAGAAAAATACCCAGATATTTATCTACAGATTTCCAGCTCCCACAAGCACAGCTAAAGAAACATTACAAGCTATAAAAAGAGTTTCTAGCAAATCCTTAATTTGATTTGAAACACTTATTTTTGATGTAAGTACTTCCATCATTTCATCTTGATTTATATTTGTGATGTCTGCTGTAGTGTGGCACTTATTAATTAAACTGATTAAGGATCTTCAGCTGTACCATAGGCCCTTCACTCTTCCACCCACTTTGCTCCTAAATGTCATTAACCTCTAGGAAATGTCCTCTTTGTTGGTTATTACTGTTTAATTATACTGTATAGTTATGTCATCACATCTGTGAAATACAACCTCCCATAACAACACAGCTGGTGAATATGATCCTCCTGCCCAGCAGTAAAATCCTGGTTACAGCAGAGAATCCACACACCACGATGATGGAGGAAGTGATACAAAGCTTTTCAAAAGCCCTTGATTTTGAGTAGGGCTGTTGAGACAGGAGGTAAGTACAGCTTTCAAGAGAGGTCTCAAACTCCCCCTCTTCCCTCCCTTCCCACCCCTCCTGACAAGATCCTCCATACATTTCAGGAATTACTACTAAACTTTGAAAACTTAGAAAAGAGAAGTTCTATACAGAAATAGTAAAGTGAGAAGGAACCTCAGAAAACAGAATTTATGAGCTCATCATCTATTTTTTGACAAACAGTACGAACTACAACTGAAAGACACTTTTTTCCTGGAACCCTCTGCTTCCATTCATGATCTCATGATGCACAAGCATTTCCTCTGCTTGTAAAGTAACAGCAGCAGTGACTGCAGTGGTCCAAAGAAAACAGCGCTTTGCACATTTCTGCCATCCTTTACAGGTGTGGGGGGAAAAGGGAGGACAACCACTCAAACAACTGGTTTTTAGAATATTACCAGCAAGAGCTCCCCACATCACAAGGACCTCCTCTAAAACATTGGATGGAATGACCACCAATTCCTGAAATTTAACATAAACTGTACATTCTGCTGGTACACGGAAAAGGTGTGGCTGTATCAAACACAGCAGGAGTGTTACCATAATATGCAGAAAACATTGTGTAAAATCTGTGTACTACAACCTGTCTTCACTTTGTCCTCCTTCTGACAACATTAGCTGGCAGTAAGCTCACAGGCTTCTCTACAAGAAGAAATGGCACTTTATGTTTACTGGGGAGAGATTTTTGTGTGTGTGTGGAGAGGGTGACTGGGAGAGAATTGCCTGATTTTTCAAGAGTGGAGATAATGAGATAACAGCAGACAGTTTCGAGCCTCAATCAAGACTCTGTACGCCAAGCTTCAACAAGGTTTTCTTTTTCCTGGTCTGAGTTACAAACCCTTGACTGGCCAGTAAGGAGTTGTTTACCTGACAGAAGCAAGGGGGCAAATTCCTTTAGATTGATGCAAAACATTTTCCTACTCTGGAAGTCAGAAAGGGAGGAGCACCAAGTTTATTTATGTAGCTCAACCAGCAGCCAAGCTGTGAGGACGCCTTATTGTGTAGAGTTCAGAAGTGTACATTAAACTCCTCCCTTTAAAGCAATGCAGAAGGAAAGTTGCCATTCCCACTCCAGGAGTCAGGAGCAAAGGGGAGAGAAATAAGCAACGAGGTTGCTGTTTGACATAGTTTTCTGTCACAATGCTTATGATTAACCAAGTGAAGAAACAGAATGACAGGGAGCAGAGAGCTTGCACAGATACCAGAGCCAGAGGGAATGACAACAGAAGTGCCCAGGGCTTCGGGTGGTCTTGTTTTACAAAGCCAGATTAATTAACCAGACACTAAAGGATATCTCTTTTAGAAAATGAAACACGTTAGAAACCAAAATGCCTCAGAGAGCGAGCAGCCAGGGAGCTATAAGTAAATTACTAAGTACAAAATGAAGCAGCCTGCAGAGGAAATGAGTAATTAAAAAACCCTCCCCTGAGCGACAGGCTGGCGAGAGAGGGATAACTCCAGGACCCTGGTGCTGGAGGTAAACAGTACCTAAGCCAAAACGTGACAGATGAAAACAGATGTTTTATACAAACAACAACCCCCAATCTCCTGCCTTTACAGTGTACTCAGCGATGGCATTAGGAACAGTCAGTCTGGAAGAACCTGAGGAGATGCACACAGGAATTACATCACCCACCACCATCACACTGCTGCCCTGGGGTGAAGCACTGCAGTCGCTGGACAGTACTCAGCAACTATAAACAATGTTTTCAGAGGAAGAACTAGAATAACATCAACCTCATTCTTCTTGCTGCAAGAGAATTAAACAGAGCACAGACCCTGGTGCCACAGCAAATCCTTCTGCACCCCTCTCCTCTTCCATAAGGGAGCAAAGACACCCTTGGGCACCTGCTGTCCTGGTGAGCAGCATCACTCCCAGCTTGGCCTGGTTCTTTTTTTTTCTGCTGCTCCAGAAAGACACCAAGAACAACACCTAACTTGCCAACCCTTAAGTAAGCAATTCTGGCGAAGTGGTTTCCAACTTTTTCCGCTAGATCTTTTCCAAGGAAGACAAGGCTTGGGTGTAGCAAGTTTTAGCCCACTGAGAGTCCTTCTTTTTCCCTGTCTTTTTGAAACCCTTAAGAGCCACCAGCTGAATGTGAGTCTGTATGCAGGCAAGAATGGAGGAGGATGACCATGGGGACACCCTGCAGCGAGGGGCTTACACTTCTTCACACTTTTCCCCCAGACATGGCTCTCTCAGAGGGAGCAGCCCCAGTCCCAATGACCATCATCTTCCTCTTTCTCAGCCACGGAGGGCAGCAAGGTTGGGAAGGTGAGGACATCCCATGCTGATGCTCAGAACCTCATCAGGCAGATGTCCCTCAACAGCACCTCAAGCCCTCCACCTCGAGCGTTCCTCACCCACTGTGACCATCTTCAAGCGAGGGGACCTTCACTGCCCCTAAGGCTGTCTGTGAGCAGAGGGATGCTACCTCAAGCCTCATTCAGAGGCAAAGCCTCACCATCCCCTGAGACCCCTGGTGGGCAGGGGAACCCCGACCCCTGCTCCCTTCATCAGCTGTGGTCCCTCACCACCACCTCAGGCCCTTCTCCCGGCAGACACACATCCCCTGCATGGGACACGGGCAGCTCACCGTCTGCTCCGTGGGGCGAGGGACCCCTCCCCGTGCCCTCCTCGAAGGAGCCCCCGCTCCGCCCAGCCTCGCGTCCCCTCCCCAGGACAGAGGGTCCCTGTCCGCCCGCTGGGGCCGGTCCTGGCAGGCGGAGCGGCCCGGCCCCGCCGCCCCCGGCCCCCGGCACTCACTGCGGCGGGAGCTGCAGGGCCGGGCCGCCGCGGCGCTGGAAGGCGCCGTCCACGAAGACGCCGTTCTTGCCGAGGCAGCGCAGGTAGAAGTGCGGCTCCTGGAAGCTGAGCTGCAGGTGCCGCCGCGAGATGAAGCTGGAGTGCCCCATGTTGACGTCCACCGAGCCCTGCGAGGAGTTGCGGCCTATGGTGACGGCCGGCTGCCGCATGAGGAACTCGAACTCGCGGCCCTGCAGCCGCGCCAGCACCGGCCCGGTGCAGGCGGCGGGCGGCGCGGCCGGGGGCGGCCGGGCCAGGGCGGGCAGCGCGGCGCGGGCAGGTGCGAGGGAGGGAGCGGCCCCGGGCCGGCGGTGCCGGCGGTGCCGGCGGTTTAACCGCTCCGGGCAGGCCCGGCACCGCGGGTGCCGCGCTTCAGTGGGCTCCGGGCTGCCTGCGGGCAGGGGAGGTCCGTGGCACGGCACGGTTGTGGTCACTGACATGGGCTCGCTTCGGCGGCCTTTTGCTGAGTCTCTATGGAATCATGGTTTGGGTTGGAGGGACCTTAAAGATCACCCAGTTCATGTCCATGCCATGGCAGGACACCTTCCACTGTCCCAGGTTGCTCCAAGCCCTGACCAACCTGGCCTTGGACACTTTCAGGGATGGGGCAGCCACAGCTTCTCTGGGCACGCTGTGCCAGGGCATCACCACTGTCACGGGGAAGAATTTCTTCCCAATATTTCCACATTAATGTCCACTTTCTCAATTTGTACCCATTACTCCTTGTCCTATCACTGCACTTCCTACCAAAGAGGATCTCTCCAAATCACCTCATAAACAACTCCCTGTGCTGGAGAGACGCCCCAAGCCCAAACCATCCTGCTCCAGGCTGTGTGTGGGGCAGGGGCACAAACATCCTCTGGCTGCGGTCTGGTCTCTGACATGAGCTGTGTTCAGTGGCCTTCTGCTGCCTCTCTATGGAATCATGGCTTGGAAGAGACACTAAAACTCATCTGGTTTCCCACCCCTGCTATGGGTAAGGACCCCTTCCACCAGACCAGGCTGCTCCTAGCCCCATCCAACCTGGCCTCAAACACTTCCTTAATAATCTTGGACTGTTTGCCAAGGCTTGCTGAACAGGGAGATTCATCCCACATCCACAAAGGTGTGAGGTTTAAAACACCTTAATGCCCTTTTGTAGAGTTTATATATTTATAAAAATATATACACTCATATATGAATGTACTGTGGTTTTATATAGCTTTATACTCATATAGTTTTTCATTATAAGGGACTGTGTAGGTTGTTTAGCTTGCATTACAGCATTTCTTCAAATCACTTTTTATATTTCTGTATGAGTATGTATTATATTTCTATCTATATTTATATTAATGATAAAGGTCATGTCCTGTGCCACAACAGCATATATTTGGCTCGTGTACAGTCTGTGCTATACATACATATCCATATATACATATATCCAGATTAAACAAAAAATGCTTCTGTATAGGTGAGCTGGTGATACTTTGCAGAATCCTGAATAGTTAAGTAATCAGAAAATACAATGAATTTGAGAATGTGGGAGAGGGAGCAGCTGTAGGTTTGTATTGCTTCAGCTTATGTGTGGAATATGTCAGCTTGTAGCAAGGCTGCTCAACAGTTTCGAGGAGATGGGGAAAAAAAATCCCATAACTGGTCAAAAGTGCAGAGCAAATTTCAGCGATGAAAACTGTAATTAAACGAGCTGGAATCGGTCCAGGACCACAAGGTTAACATCCCTCTTCCTGGAACATCTTCCCAGAGATGTTTAATGACTGCTGAGCTGCCGAGACCTGCGTTAGACATCTCACCCGAGACACCGTCTTCAGTGAGTGCTCTTTGCCTCTGCAGTTCAATACCAAGCGAGAGGAAGAGAGAAGAGCACAAAACACCAATGCCACTTCCTCCACACCACTATCAGCTCTGCAGAGAGACTCAGCCCAGGCAGGCACAGCAAAGGGCTGCAGGAGAGGGAGGAAAAGCATCCACAGAGGGGGCACGGGGAGGAGGGAGGTGATCTGAGCTGAGATCTGAACTCCTTTCCTGCCCCAGACTGCTCAGCATCAGCAAGCACTTGTGGCCAGAAAGCAAAATGTGGCCATCAGGTAGAGCCAGATCCACATGCTGCCTGACAACAGATGGCTCAGGCTTTTACTCCATCCACCCCTGGATGAGTGTGCTGTTACCTGAGCTTAAAAATGGACCCAGGCTGGTACACAGGTCAGTGGCAGCAAGCAGGGTGAAATCTTGTATCAGAGCAGCCTGACCTGCCAAAAAAAAAAAAAAAAAAAAATTAAAAGAGAAAGCAGTGACAGAAATTTTAGTTCATGTCTAAAGCTCTTCTAAACCCCAAATTTCACCAGGAGGACCCCGAAAGGATGAGGAATAGGGTGAGGCTGTTAGCAGATGTTGTCAGTAGCTGTTTCTAGGGCTGCCTGAGAAAACACATTGCAGGCAGGCTGGGTCAGGGCAGGAGCCAACCCCCCATGGGCAGGAGCAGGGCCCTGGTTGCAAACACAGGAGGTGCAGGGAAGCCCCGTGTGGCTGTCTGATGTGGGGCCAAGAGACATGTCACTGCAGGGCTGGGTCCTGTTGCTGCTCCCACATTCGATACAGGCTACGGAATTCTGCAGCTCCAGTTAGGGAATGACCCGAGGGCTGACACGTGAGGCTGGCTGGGAAGATCCTTGCCCTGCTGAAAGGCTCCCCAGCTGCTCAGGACAGAGCTGATCCAGGGCTGTGGAACTGGTGATGTCAGTGGGCATGTCCACACGTGTCACGGTCATCTGCAGCCACTGGGACCCTCCAGCCACGCCAATTGATGAGATTTTTTTCTAACAAGCCTTTTCCTTTCTACTTGGAAATTTCTTCTGAGTGGCATTTGCTGCTTAAGCCAGCACCACTGCTGAGATAAATCCCAGCTTCATGCACAATGTGATCAAGTGGTGTACAGAAACAGGATTCCTCTGAGCTGCCTGGTGGGTTGTGCTTAGCACCGTGTCTCAGCAGCCCGTTGCCTGCGGCATCCTTTCCCTAAGCTTCTAACAGAGGGCTCTGCTGGCAGCCTGCAACGCTCTGCTCAGCTCTAATCTGCCCTGCAACAGCATCAAACCAAGGGCCCTTCAGCCACGGCAACACCTCGTGCTCCTCCAGTCAGCTAATCCTGCTTAAAGTCAAGCCTGCTGCCCCGGTGTAAATGCCTGATGTAAACACACACAAGATTGTTTGAATTAAGTTTATCTCGTCCTGCATGGCTGGACTTTATAGTTGCTCCTTTTCCTCTGCAGGGTTTTAGATGGATGTGTCAGCAGATGTGGACAAATTTCTTAATTCCATGGGTTGCCTACCAAAGTATTTGGATGTCCAGGAGATGCCTGCCAGGTTTCAAGAGGTGTAGGGAGTCGAGCACAGTCCCGATGCCACCTGAGATGTGGATGTGGGAATGACACCTTGGCCATCCCTGGCCATCCAAACTGTCCTGCTCCAGCCAGAACTGTGCTCAGGCACTACCATGGTGTGACACCAACACAAGCACATGCAGAAATAATCCCTCCTGGCACTTTGTAGAGACACCTTTAGCCATTTTGAGATGCTGCCCTGCCTCACCTCTCTCTGCTAGAGGACAACCTGAACTGGGAGGAGAAATCAAACATACAAACAAAGCAGCTGTGAGAGCAGAAAATAGCTGGGATGGAGTCAGGGTTAGTCAGAGAGTGGTGTGAAACCCAAATGTCCTTTGTCAAATATTTGTTTGGCTGTGTGTCATTGCTGACTGTCTCAATACAGCAAGAGTCTGTTTCATGCTATCAGTTGTGGGCAAATGAATGTAATGGGTTGTTATGGTCACCCAGATACCACTGCATTGGGCAAACACAAATCTTGCAAAAACAGTGATAAAAGGGCACATTTCTGCTTTTATCTGCTGGATGGTGTCTGCTTAGAAACACTGAGTTTCTAGAAGCGAAATGCTGCATTTCTATAGCATTTCACATGGCTGTTGCTCACTGTTCCGATGCATGAGACTCAATACATATTTATCAAGCCCCAATTCAGCAAGGAATCTGCCCTGTTTCAGCACTGCAGGAAATCTCTTCTACCCCCAGCCCAAAGCATCATTGAAAAGCTGCTTGGACAGAAAGGAATGATGAGAGCTGCACACTGGGCATGATGTATTTACCCAGCAGCCAGACAACACATTGATGCTCACAATGAAAGGCAGCCTAATGTGTGCAGCCCTGACCTGGGAAGGAGGAGGAGAAGAGTGAAGGAAAGCAATTACTTTAAGGAAAAGAGAGTCTGCTGTCTCTGTGCCAACCCAGTCCAGCTTTTCTCCTGAGCACAGTGCCAATCTCATGGGGTTAATGGCGATCAGGCTTCCACTGATGTAATTGTGCATCATTAGCAAGCAAGCAGAGAATTCAGCACCTGCATCGCACAAACACTTTGATAAATAACAAAAGAAGAGGGCAGTGTTCCCTCATATTCCAGCCAATCTCTCCGCAGCACTTTTTCCTTTCCCTTCTCTCAGCCATCAAGTAGGTTTTAAATGCTGTTGTGGTTTTTGTCCAAACTGATTTGAAGCAGTGTAAGTGATGAGCCACGTGCCCTGGATCTGTGGAGCTACTTTCCCCTGCACACCTGAGCTCAGGAGCAGCCTCACTTCTCTCTCCAGCTGGGTGGGTTTTAATTCTGCTTTGTGTCTCAGGGAAATCAGTGTGATGTGGCACAGGAACAAAAAGGGCTTTGCACTTATACATGTCTGGTAGGACTTTCTTCTTAACCAAGCAGCTGCAAGAAGTTAAATAAAAGTAATTGTTTTGAAATATGTTCAGGCACATCACAGTACCTCTCTCACAGATGCACACACACACTTGCATGGTGTCTAACTCAGCCTCCCATGGCATTTCTACCTGTTTTCTCAATTCTGTTGCAGCATCTGTTCTTTTAACTCGATTCTTATGTCTCTCAGTGACGACCCTTGTGCCTGATCTGGGACAACCATATAAATGTCCCTGCCTGCCAAAACTGCATCCGTGGCACGGCTTTCTGACTGGAAGAACACGTGCAAGGCTTGCAGTGGCATTGATGATGTGAGCTGGCATTGAGGGTTTGGGGAGGACAGCAGCACCCTAATCCCATCTGTAACACCCATAAATACCTTCCCTCTGTCAGAACAACTTTACAGATCTTTCACAGTGGCTCTGAGCCAGGTTTTAATCCAAATGGGCTGATAAGGAAGGGTTGGTCTGTGGAGGAGGTGATCCACTGATAGAGGAATTCTTTCTTCTTCAGAAGGTTGAAGAAAAC